TTCTCTATGGAAGTAGATTGCCTAACCTTCCTTCTGAGGAGTGGTTGGTGGGTTTGAACCTCCAGCCCTCTGGTTAGCAGTCATATGCCTTAGGCATTACGCTACTAGAGCTCCCAAGTAGGATGCAGAACAAGGTTTTTGTGTTGTAGAAGCTTTAACTTTTCTGTTAGCAACTGAGCTTGTTAACTGTTCTCACCACCCAGGATTCCAGTGTTGTTTTCAGGAGCAGAGCTATAAATAAGTAGAAACAGAAAAAGTTTCCCCACCCTTTTAGGCTGTAGGCAGTAACGGGGCTTCACTTGATTTCTAATGCTGATTTTACTTGCTCCCCCTACCCCATACTGGCAGCTTGTTTTGCAAATCATCTTTGCTTTTTCTTCTGCTATCAATTGCTTCCTTCTGATGGGGAGGAGCTAAGTTGATGAGTTATCAAATGTATGTGCACACATTTTTATGTATAAAGTAGGAAAAACTTTCTGGGGTGATGACAGATGAAAGGAGTTGTAGCAGCCAGCCAGACTCCTTTGGCCTCTGCTGGTTCCAACAGCACCATCCTTGGCCCGTCACCTTCCCTGGGCTCTGCCAAGCCTTTGCCCATTCCCTTCCCTCCATACTTACCTTAGGTCCTGTCTTGAGAAATCTTGGCTCTTAACCTGTAGCTGACGAATTCTTGCTTAGAAGGTGGAGAGGAATAGCATGCTTGAGTCCAATAATTCATGCACACTGAAGTAGTAATTTCACTTTCCTTGGGTTTGTAGTGACAGGCTGGAAGAAACCACCAATCAGGGACAAATTATTTATTTTTGAGAGGGAATCTGGAGACATCTTATTTATCTTTGCTTTGTTTGATCTCCTGGAAAATACCAGGAAGACCTATTTGTTATAGCCAGACATAATTCCCTCTTCCCTTTCCTTCTTTCTTCCCCAGTCCTATCTTGGATGCTTCCGGAAGCACAGGAGAAAGGTTACTGCTTGGAAAGAGGCCATGTACTGTTTCAGGAAACACCACTGGATGTACCACTGCATTGACCCCACAAATCATGCTTGTGGCTTGCAGTGTCCCTAGCACTGAGGTGAAGACCATGAGCCCATGGCTGTCTCATCCATGGTGGTACCCTATCACCTGGCATGCTATCTCTCCCTGAATGGGCAGCAAAAAAAAAAAAAAAAAAACAACTTTGTTGGGTGAGTGAAAATAGCATATAATGTCTGATGCCAAAGTCTTGTTTCTCTGAACTAGGCCAGAAATTGGTATTTAATGCTGTTACTTACTCACATCTCCTATTCAAAAGCACTTCCAATATGGTCACCTGGGAAAGTCAGTGCTGCCCTGAGTCTCCCCTGGTGTGGTCTCTGTTATTTTGTAAAGTACACTTACATGTTTGGAAGCCTTTCTTGGAAGGAGCCATGGCGGTGCAGATGGTTAAGTGCTCGGCTGCTTTCCCAAAGGTTGGTGCTTTGAACCTACCCAGTGGCACCGTGGGCAAAAGACCTGGCGTGTGCTTCCATAAAGATTACACCCAGAAAACCCCAGGGGGAAGTTCTGCTCCGTCAGGTGGGGTCGGTCGGAATGAGTCAGAATTGACAACAACAACAAACAAATAGGTAAAATTATCAGCAATGCGATCTGTAGGGGAATTTTGGAAATAACAACAGCATTTGTGCCTGGACCACTTCTACTGTATGTAGGAGGATCTTTCTGTGGCCTTCGAATTAATTGAAAATGTCTTTGGCATTGAACTTGTCAAAAGAAGACCCACGTTTGCCACCATGGAAAGTATGTACTATGTCGGTAGGGCAGCTGGTGGGGCAAATTCTTTCATGATATCCTCTCAAGTTCCCTTGCGATGAGTCCAGCACCGAAGAAATCTCCTTTATCTTTTTTAGCTGTGAGCTGTCAGGCTTGCCACATTTCCGCCTGGGGACAGGATGAAGCACATTCATGTGCCCTGGGTTGTGCAGAGGCAGTCTTAGATAAGGAAACCCAAGTGCTGATTTCTGCAGGGTTCTCATCCTGCATTTTAGGGAAGTGTCGCGGTCCCTCTTTGCACCCTGCACCGCGAGATATTTGTCTTCTTTTTTTTCTCTTGCCGTACTTGAACATTAGTCCGAACCAGTCCCTTGTATTTTGCTTCAGGGTTTTTGCCTTCCTCCCTAGGGAATAATTGCTTAGAAAATGCCCTCCTGTGAAGAACAAAATCTTTGATATCATAAATCGGTGGTGGAAACTCGCCTGTCATTTGGCTTACTATTTTAACCATTGCTAATGGCTAAATGGGGGGAGCTCTGGTAGCGTAGTGCCTAAGGCACTTGACTCCTAACCAGAAGGCTGGTGGTTCAAACCCACCAGCCACTCCTTAGGAGGAAGGTTGGGCAGTCTACTTCCATAGTAATAATGCCTCGAAACACAAGGGGGGCGGGTCCGCTATGAGTGAGGTCTGACTCGATGGTACATAACAACAGCAACAATGGCTAAATGGTTGTAGAGTGCCAGTGGAAGCCGGTTGCATCCACTTGCCTGTCTGCTCTCTGCCTTTGTCAGTGTGTGTGTGCTCATTTAGGGACCAGCCCACTTATCATAGGCACTTGAGTCTTTTAATGCTTTGGAGAGTTATAGGAACTATATGCCATTTCCCAGGTAGTTGAGACTTGCTAAAAATAGAGCTTCAATGGCCCCACCATCCTGGCATTGGAAATCATTGCTCTATATTTTTAGGCCAGCTTTTGTTATTCCTAAGACTTTCCAGCCTGGGCAATAGGAGTCACTAAGCAAGACCTTGTCAATTGGACACTGCTGTAGTTTGACCCCTCCCTCCCAGCTGGTTGGACCAAGAATCCAATTCCATTGAAACACAGAGTGCTGACCTCCACATGATTCCCCTTCTTCACCCCCACCCTCTGTTAAGGAGGATTATGTTTCACTGTGGACTGAGGGTACTTGACACAAGAAAAATATATTGAAAAGAGTGAATTCTGCTGCCTGTGAGTTCCTGGCACCAAGCTCACAACCAACCAGAAGGCTCAAGCAGCGTAAAGCAGCTTTGAGGCCGCTGGTGGACAGTACAGAGGCTGCGACCCCTGCACTGAGGGTGATCTAATGGGGAAATTATCATCACCATACTTAGTTGCAAAGTGCTGTGGTTAAATGAAAAGTAAAAATCAACTTAGCTTCCATTGCTCATTTCATTAGTAATAATCTCATTCTACTATCCCCATTCTTGCCCACCTTCAGTTACTGAAATAACTCTGAGTGGGTTTTCTTTTTAAAGATCTGTGTGAAGCAGATACCTCATAAAAATGGCACAGGCGCAGTGTTCTATTTAGAACTTGCCCTGTGACATAAAATCACGTGGGTTTTGTGGCCCTTGTCACTGGTTTCTTTGCAGTTGAATGCTAGTGGAGGCCCAGACAAGCCAGCCCACGTAGCTGTGCCTTCAGGGAAGGCAATTTGAAAGTGGTATGGACTTTTGGTCATTTTAGTTCAGTAAGAATCACTCACCAGACCCGAAACAAGCTTCTCTGGTATTTGATAACCAGATGTATTAGTTTCCTGTGGCTGCTGTAACAAATGTCAAGGCTTAAAACAACACAAATGTGTGATAGTTCTGAAGGTCAGATTCTGATGCCAGTCTCACTGGGCTACAACTAAAGTGTTGGCAGCGTTGCATTCCTTTGTGGAAGCTCCAGGGAAGAAAGTATTTCCTTGCCTTTTCCAGCTTCCAGAAGCTGCCAGCTTTCTATGGCTTATCCCCGCTTTCTCGACGGTGCCTAACAACAACAACAACATCCCCCTCTTTCTCCATCTTCAGAGCCAGCAAAGGCAAGTTGAGTTCTCATCACATCACATCACATCACTTTGATGTCCTCCTCTTACAGTTTTTTTCTAAAGTTTATTTTCTTGTCGTCATTGAGAATATAGAGAGCAAAACATGCACCACGTCAACAGTGTACAATTCAGGGCCATTGATGGCGTTCCTCGGGGTGTGCAGCCATTCTCCCCCACCTTTGCTGAGTTGTTCCTCCCTCATTAATGTAAACTCACTGCCCCCTAAGGTTCCTGTCTAATCTTTTCGAGTTGCTGTTGTCAGTTTGATCCTGGAGGGATGGTTCTTAAAAGATCATAATGCTAAAGGCAGACTTTTTTTCATTAGTTAAGCTGAGTTATATTATTCAGTTTTAAGAAGACTTCAGGAAAATTTTTGGTTTAAGGTTTGAAGACTATCTTAGGGCAATAGTTCCAAGGGTTCATCTTTCCATGGCTCCAGAAAGTCCATTTGAATTTGAAATCTGTTCTGCGTTTTTACCCCCCTTTGATCATGACTCTTTTATGGAATCTTTGATCAAAACGTTCAGTAATGGTAGCCAGGAAGTTCTTATGGTCTTAGGGCAAGAGGCACCAATCCATATTCTGCCTTTAGTCAATTCAATTTTTCTATCACTGTTAGTCTATTTTCCCCCTTAGCTCTGTCAACACTCCCCCCACTGTAACCACTAATAAACTTTAGTCTCTATGCATTTGCCTTTTCTTTTTTTTTCTCTCTCTAGTAAAGCCTCCCACCCCATGCCCTTCATGGTTATGCACTCCTGTGTGTCCTGCATTTCCTCCAGGTGAATGTTGCCCCTCTGGTGCCCCGTGGTTGATTTTTCTTGTCTTTTTATATAATTGAGGTCAGACAATATTTGTCCTGTTGTGATTGGCTTGTTTTACTCAGTGTAATGTCATCCAGCTTCATCCATACTGTAGCATGTATCAAGGCTTCATTTATCCTATTGGCTGAGTAGAATTCCATTATACGTATATACCACATTTTGTTCAGCCGTTCATTTGATGATGGGCATTTAGGTGGTTTTCACCTTTTGGCTGTTGTGAATAGTCTGCAATGAACATTGGTGCACAGGTCTCCTTTTGAGTCTTTGCTTTCAGGTCCTTTGGATATATACCTAGGAGTGGAATTTCTAGGTCATATGGTAGTTCTATTTTTAGTTTTCTGAGGACCCCGTAACACTGTTTTCCACAACGGCTGTACCATCTTGCATTCTTACCCACATTCTCTCCAACATTTGTTATTTCTTTTTTTTTTTTTTTTAAATCTTAGTCATCCTAGTGAAAATGAAATGGTATCTCATTGTGGCTTTGATTTGCATCTCTGTGATAGCTAATGACACTGAGCATTTTTTCATGTGTTTGCTGGCCATTTGAATGTCCTCTTCAGTGAAATGTCTGTTCCAGTCTTTTGCCCATTTTATAACTGAGTTGTCTTTTTGTTGTTAAGTTATCGAGGTTCTATATCTATCTTCGTTATTAGATTCTTGTTGGATAAATGATTTCTGAAGATATTCTCCCAGTTGGTAGCTTCCCTTTTCATTTTTTTGGTAAAGTCTTTTGTTAAATAAAATTCTTAATTTTTATGAGGTCCCATTTATTTATTTTGTCTTTTACTATTTTTGGTTTGTCTTAGGCTGGGTTCTGGGTTCTCTAGAGAAGCAAAACCAGTGAAGCTTATATGTATATATATGTTGTTGTTGTTGTGTGCCGTCAAGTCGTACCCGACTCATAGCAAAATATTTACCTCAGGAAAATGGCTCATGCAATTGTAGAGCCTGGCAAGTCCCAAGTTCATGGGTCAGATTTCAGGCTGGAGGCTTTTCTTGACTAATGCAGCCATAGGAGCTGACGAACTCAAGATGGACAGGCAGTGTAGCAGGCTGCTGACTTCAGTGGGTGACAAATCTAAGATTGGTAGGTAAAATGGTGGATTGTTGGCTCACAGATTGCAAAGGCAGTAATCCCAAGATCGTCAGGCAGTACAGCAAGCCACTGGGTCAGCTCCAAAAACCAGATGATGATAAGCCAGATGTAAGATCCAGATCCAGCAGAAAGCCCCAGAGTTCCCCCAGGAAGTCCATATATATGTTGGAAGCAGACCACACCCCTGAGGAAACTCCCTTTCAGTTGATAAGATGCTCATAGCATATCTCATCATGGAGGTGATTACCTTACATACGATCTCATCATGGGAATAACTACATCAGTACTGCTTACACCACTTAAAATCATGGTCTATTCAAGTTAACATACGACCTTAACTATTACATGCTTTTGTAATTATGTTGGATAATCCATTGTTGAAAGCTAGGCCTGAGAGCATTGCCCTTGCCTATTCTAAAAATTTTATGGTTTTAGTTTGCACATATAAGTCCTTAATCCATTTTGAATTTGTTTTTGTGTATGGTGTGAGACATAGATCCTGTTTCATTTTTCTGCATGTGGAAATCCAATTTTCTCAGCACCATTTACTGAAGAGACTCTTCCTTTTCCATCTAATGGAATTAGCACCCTTGTCAAAAATCAATTGACCATAGATGTATGGGTGTATTTCTCAATTCAATTCCATTGGTCTATATGTCTATTATTATACCAGTACCAGGAGCCCTGGTAGTGTAGTGCCTAAGGCACTTGACTACTAACGAGAAGGCTGGTGGTTCAAACCCACCAGCCACTCCTCAGAAGGAAGGTTGGGCAATCTACTTCCATAGTGATACCACCTCAGAAACCCAAGGAGGGGTCATGGAGTCAGGTCTGACTCGATGGCACATAACAACAACAACAACAACAACAACAACAACATACCAGTACCAGGCTATTAAGCATTTGGCTGCTGACCAAAAGGTCAGCAATTCGAATCCACTAGCCACTTCATGGGAGAAAGAAGAGGCAGTCTGCTTCTGTAAAGATTTATGGCCTTGGGAATCCTATAGGGCAGTTCTACTCTGTCCTGTAGGTCAATATGA